ATCATTAAGAAGATAACTTCATTCGCTTGACGCACAGAGGTACTCAAGTTCATAAGAGAAATAAGTACTGCTTACAGGTAACATTCAACGAACCTTTTCACATTATGTTGCAGCGAGTTCCCTATTGTTTTAATAAAATACACTGAGTAGTACTACACTGATTTATTTTACCAAACTCTAATAATTTGAAGTCGTTCGCCGTAAAATGTTTTTACACAGCTATCGAAGCCTTACTGCCAGCCCCATCATTTACTGTATGCACTGAGAAAACGCATTTGGTATGAAACTGGACTTTGCAAACTTTCCGTCCTTTTCGGTCAGTAGGTCTTCATACCAGGACTGCATAAGGTCTTCCATTATACTTGTTATGTTTCTGAAAGATACCTAGTTAGAATAATGATCTCCCTTCTTACCTTTTATTCAGTTAACTCCGTTCTCTGAATAAAACTCTCACCAGCCTTTTCAATTTAACTGTATAGCTTTGCTCCACACCCCCTTTTCCAGCCGGAGAGAGGATCGTATTTCGTTTTCATAGCGAATGGCAGCGTCCGTCAAAAAGCTCTTTCGGTTCTTGAACACTCTTCTGATCTTGATATCATGAACTCCAGCTCCGACTTTTAGAACTGTCTATAGCACTATCGTAGTTATCTATCATCTCTGTGTTAAGATGGATGGATGCCCCAAGGTCTTAGTGCTATCGTTTTCCCTTTAAATATATTATCTTGCCATTGTCTGGCGAATAATTATAGGTGCAAACGCCATTATAAGCTTTTCGCTATTTGTCGTTCTTTAATTTGAAGGAGTTACGTATTTGTTTTTTCTTTCATTTTTACTTTTCTTACCACAATGACTGCAGGGTAATTAAAAAGTCATTTTAGTCAGGAAATCCCCAGAGTTCCCCGTAATACACCGTTCCCCGCTCCTAACAGATTCAGTTTGTGTGTATTAAGAAACGTTTATTTTAATCCTGTCGTCTTCGTGTTTATCAAGCCTGAAATATTTAATGTCGAATATTTGAACATAGGATCAACGGTGTGCTCATTACACAACGACTTTGTGAAAATATTAAATTCTATTGCTTTGTAAAAAGCTTCAGGTACGAAGTGATGTCATTGTACCTTCCTATCCTTATATCAAAATAGTTTAGGATTCCAATAAAATTATTTTTGCGAGGGCAAGTGACAGGAAGCAATCCAATGACAGGGAAAAAAAAACACAAACAAAAAGATGAAACACTGATTGTGAAAAGCATGGCCCTTTACTTTTCTGAACTAAATATACTGTAGGTTTGCTCTCTTCAATGAAAAGGCAATGACTTCTGAACTCGAAACCCGGATCTTGTGAAGATAGAGTACTGAAATTGTGTACCCAGAAGATTTCAGCAGTGAGCAAAAGCACCATACAAGGCAGAAGTATCCCAGAAAATGATGTTTTTTTCTTTGGACTGTTTTAACTCGTTAAACTGCTGTTATATTTTTCTTTGTGTGAGAACTCTATTACAAAGTATTGCATTTATCACAGTGAAAAGACATTATTGCAGAGCATACGAGATAAGAAAGATGAGCAGATTTATCTACATTACAGGCTGCTCAGCCTATCATATCTACCACTGAACTCTAGTTCTGCTCAGTACAGAAGATTCAATCGTACACCCCTAATATTGAATCATGTGTTCTCCACCAACTATATACTGTATAATCTGATACTATTAAAGCTATACCTATATATTACTATTCTGATACTATCGTATGAATAAGCTTGTATATATCTGTAATCAAAATATTTTAATATTATGAGAAAAAAAAGTGATGACAGACAATAATGTAAATTGAATTGGGTGGAGAAGAATCATAATTGATCTGTAGATGTCTTGGGTTAATTCCTATAGGTTAAAACCATTGGATTATATTTCAGTTCCACAATCTCCTGATTTCTAATTGGTTGTTTCTAAAAGCTGTATCTCTAATGGGCTTTGCGTTAATGCTTCTTATGAACAGTACAATATAGTAGAATATAGCAGAAATCGCTCATCGGGAATTGGCCGATACCACCATTCAACAGGAGTACGGTTCTTTATTGTCTCAAATGGGAAATTTGATGGATCATTTAAGTGGTATTATTAATGAGTTCCATATAACGTTGAGTTAATCACTTGACAAACCAAACATATGTCAGACAGGATCATTTAAAAAAAGGTAAGTAAAAATGGAATGCTAGGCTTTGCTTTAAATACCAAGGATACTTCTGCACATTTAAAGAGATCTATAAATGGATTTATCACTGAACACTATATGAAACTCATGTTCATATGAAATAGAAGCTAGAAAATTAGATTCTACTATTTGGGTTAAGATCATCTATATGGAACGATAACATTTTTAAAGGTTTCAAAGTCAACTGTGAAGATCTTCATCGGTTTTATTTAAATCTTCTGCGTTCGGCTGCCCTCTAGCGTTCACAATGTGAAAGGTAAGGAGAGCTCCCCAGCATACTGCTGAATGTGGGGATTTAGAGGCTGTTTAAAGACATCTGGCCTTCTGAATTCAAACTACTGATCTGCGGCGAGCCTACCCAGTTTAAAGACTGACCTTTGTGAACCTTAAGCAGCAGTCCACTGGGAGTGCAGAAGAATTTCCTTCCTTTTAAAGGGCAGATATTAAACTCTCATGCAAACGTACCTTGGACTTTGGTCTCTAGGTGCAGATAGGATTCTAGCCCGTACTGCTTAGGAGAAGAATTTGAGCACTCTCTTTGCTGCTCCAAGCTGTCTGTCAGAGGAATGATCCACTGTCAGATCTAAACTTTCAGACTAGGACGAGGCATTCGGGTAGAATAACATCAGCATTCTTGCAGTGCAGCAGGGAGAGCAAGGAATTATCTGGAACTGTTGATGGCAAAGTACTAAACTGACAGATTTGTGTTTTGGATGCACAGATTCCCATGTGACACCCAGTTATACACAGCTCCTGCTCCATTAAGCTCAAACCCTCTTCTCTAAAGAAGAGGCCATTAGATAAGGAAGACATAAGCTTTTTTGTACATGGTCACCATGTCTAGATATTGCTGCTTAGGAATCTGTCCAGAGAACAAACAGCCAGATACATTTTGGGACTGAAAGGAATGTTTTACACTGGCAGGCTGAAGGTAATGAACCTTTTTAGTTTTGAACAGAGAACACTATGAGGGGACTTGATAAAAGTATTCAAAACCCTCAAAGGCTCTGGCAAAATGAAGTCAGTAGAATGCTTTAAGATTAACAGTGAAACAGGAACCAGAGGACACAGGTGCAAACTACAGTATGTGGAAGTGTGTTTTAAACAGAGAACTTCTTTACCCAGATGGCCGTGGGAGTACAGAACAAGCAGCCCAGCAATGTGCTTGAAGCCAATACCTGGGCTTCTTTCAAGAAGTGGCTGGATCTATTAGCCACTAACTACCAAACAATTCATATGGGCCAAATGGCCTCTTCCTGTCAGTGACCTTTCTTACAAGTATGTTCTTTTCTTAGGTAACAATATCAAACTGTTTCGCTAAAAATAGATATTTTTTTTCAAGTAACAGTAGATGCATGACTCAGTTTGGGTACCATATTGGATGTGCTGATGTTCCATTTAAGATCTTTCAGCTAATCTTTTCAGCATGCAAATGGGACCACCGCATATTTTCACTGAATTTCACTTGTAAAACCACTCTGCGAAAAGTGTTCAAATCTAGACATGACAAAAACAAGCTAGAGCATTCATATTATCCATTGTTGAAGCAGACAATTCATATTTCAATTAAACCCTCTCTGATTTTGTGATCAACAGATAGGGGCAAGTTCGAACATAAAACATTTGCTATGAGCTTTTTCATTTCAGTCAATTGCAATATCATTAGTTTCTTTGAGAGCTTTTGTTTTGAATTATGTCCAGCCATGCAATGGTCTCCTTGATAAGTTTTAAATAAAAATGTTGCGTGGGCTACACAAGACATTTACACAATTTTGCCAAGCGCAAGATCTTCCCGATGTATACGATTTATATACCAAATGATTACATATATGAGGCCTCCAGCAGAAGAGGAACCTGCAGGTTTTAAATACAGTATGTCTTTCAATTAGCAAGTGATAAATGGCTAGAAAACTGGTGATATCACTTCTATCCAAAAAATAGTTAATTTTAATATGTCATTAAGTTCAGGCGCAATAAAAATCAAAGGACCATCAGACCACTGAGAACTGGAGCTGCCCTCCTGGATATAAAAGATAGTCAAATTAATACCTACATGTATTCCCAATCCTAGTTCCCAGTCATATTTTTTAATGTTCATCATTCAAGTGAATGACAAATGTTACTCAGCAGTTTAGAAGACTACGAGCTGGATAATCTATCATAGTTCTTTCCTAGCAAATATCCTGAAAGGTCAGACATTTGTAGTCTAAGATGGTTTTATGAAGTATGGTGAGAACCCAAAAGCTTTTTTGAATGACGGCATTCATGTTTTATATTCTGTTTCTGACCGCAAGGAAACAGATGTTTTGCTAAGTCTCTTGAATTATTCCTTTTAATAGTTTGTGCCAGTCAAGTCAAAAATCTGTTTTCTTCATTTTTTTTCCTGTCTCTGTCCTTTTAGTAGGATTAAAATTCTTTCCTTATGATGGGATAAAGCATTATACATGATGTCTATATTAACTGACATTAATGTTTGATGTCATTGTCCATATTCACTAGGAATGCCAATTAAATCTTTGTTAGTTTAAATTTTACAGATACCAGTAAAATGTACAAAACACATTCAGAAAGTATTTCTGAATTCAAAGTATTTTTCATACACAGATATCAAGTATTCTTTCCAACGTGTTTTCTTTTTTGCCATTTATCACCGTCATTATTACTAATTCTTGACTTCTGGACAAATGCATATCAGCGGAATATAACAGTCTGACCAGTTTCAGTACTGAAACGGTCAGGTCAGTTTCAGAACTAAACAGATTTCTAAAAGAATAAAGGCATATTTACTTGTTTTTCGTCCTTGTTGATTGGTGCTGGCATTGACCACCGGTTTCACCCTTACCACCTTCCACTCCTGGTCCTGAATCTCCTCATCTCTGTTGCTCCCCCCTTCTTTCCAGGGTGGCTCTGTTACAGCCAGTGGCCTCTGTCTCTCTTGGCTGGGCTTCTTGGTCCAGCCTGCCGCTGCAGAACTGGGACCAGTCCAGCTCATTCCTCTCCTGATGGTTTGGTTCACTTTCTTGTCCTGCTCCACCTCTTTGTGTTGACTCAGTGCTGTTGAAGACCAGGTGGTGGTTTGTGGTAGTCCTTGGTTTTGCACGGTTTTATTCACATCAGGTTCTGAAGCAGGACTCTCTGTATCCCCAGATAGGCCGTAGCCTTGTAGAGGGACGCTGGGTTTTAAACTACCGCCACTCTCTTTGCAAACGTCCCCAGCTTGAGCAGGAGGCCCTCCAGCAACATCAGGATGGACATCAATTTTCAACATTATGGAGTTCTTTGGTCTTCAGTTTATTAAAAATTAATTGTTCTGTTTATTGCCGATTTCTTCTCTCTGGCTCCCGTTAAAGAGCGTTTGATAATGGAACAACAACAAGAAGAAGATGAATGCTAAGAATACTTGCACATCATCATGTGCTGTTTTTGTTTAAATCTAAGAAGACCTCCCCTTAAATCCCAGAGAGGCTAGTTTGGAACAGTTCCCACAAAAAATATTGCCATCAGAATTGCTTAACATTGAGTGTGCTCTACTTTGGTTCCTGTAAAGGCCAAACTAGTTCCACTTTATTTGCTTAAAACAGTGCTGAATATCCCAAATACAGGATGTTTTTGACCATCATGTCTTAATCCGGTAGCAGGCACTTTCATAAACATAAATCTGGCCTCTATTGGAAAGTCTCCTGGGTAGATTATCTTTCTTGCTGCGTACAGAGTAAGAATGAACTGCTAGCTCTAGTAAATGTTAGGAACTTCTCATTACACTTTAAACAAACCACAACAATGTTTTAGAACTTCCTGTGTTGCTGTTTTTGGTGTGTACATGTCTGAGTGTATACTGAAGTTAGAAAGGTCATTTCGAAGCCTTCCAGATTTGTTTCTTTTGCCGTTGGTTGAAGGCCACAGCAGGCCTTCACATAAAATGAGCAAACAAATTTGCTTCCTATCCTTGTTTCAAAACTTATTGTAAAGTTTGAATACAGATATTTTTCTTTGTTCACTTTCTGTAAAGAAGTGTTTTTATGTTAGCATTTTCTTAATAAAACTGGAAATTACTTCTGGCTGCGAGTCAAGGAAAACAGACTTTGAGGAGCTGAAAAAAAAGGGTATCTTTAGCCTTAATAGTGTCTTTCAGGATCTTAGAAACAGTCCCAGGAGATAAAGGAGACTGTAGTGGTCACATCAACATTTTCAATACGCCAGTGCTTAAGTGCTTAAAATATTTTGTAATTATAATTTTAGTGAAGATAAATGCAGACAATCATTTTAATTTCGATAAACTATGATTTTGTTCTTGCTGGGTTTATGTGTGCTTTCTATGATCTATTCACTTCAAGCGCAATTCTGATTCCATGGGTCACTTTAAACTCCTCTGTTGTCCTGAAATGCATGCTAAACCGTTTACTTTCCTGTAAACAAGTGGAGGGATCGATACTTCTCAAAACCTCCAGGCCGAGGCCAATGAAAGGGTGGCATTCACTGTGAAGTCATTTGGTCTGGTTTTGTTTTGCTGAATGTCTTTCTTCTTGTTTTCCACTGTTTTTTTGTGCTCTGTGGCTTTTCTAATAGACTCTTGTGAAGACTGTCCCCAGATGGTGTGAGGGAAATTAAAAAGTCCGAGCTCTGGGGACTGGTTGTTGTTTTGGTACCCCCGGCCTGCACTCTGTTGTGTAATTCCACCGACTCCCACTTAGCAGCTACCTGTAAACGAAAATAAGGGAGAAGTTGGTCCCTGCTGAGGTATATTTTGATAAATTTTTAAAATTAATTTTTGAAGCCTATACCCTAGCTTCCTTCATGAAATGCCTGGATGAGGTACTCGGAACAACAAGCTATTGTACTAAATACCAACTGGGCCAGATGGGCTAAATGACCTTATCTAAGAGCCAACAATCATTTCTTAATCTTATGAAGAAAAAGTAGCAGTTTTTGAAATTAAATGTTTTAGAATAAAGTTGCAGTCTAAATTTTCATTTTTCACTTCCCCAATGAGGAGTGAATAGTTAAACTGGTCAGTGTTCATTTTTGTTCATATTTAAAAGTTATAGAGGAGTAGCATTTCACCTTAATGTTACAGAAAATAGTTAATTTTGAAGCATACATCAATTTAGAGTTTTTTAATTATACAACAAGTATATCTTAATATATTAAGGAAGCTATAATTCAGCTTCCTTCTGTAGAGACATTGTATGAGAATGAAACTGAAAACATAAAATGACTTAATTAGTGCAAATATGTAAGAGCTCTGAAATTGTTTAATTTCCTTGTTTTCTGCTGGGACCCACGAAAGAGGAGATGTTGTATTTAACAATGCTATCTCAATGCTTAAAAAAGAAAACATTCGCCAAAGGGAGTGACCGGAGTTTCCCGTAAGTTTGTTCTAGCAAGACAACACATTAAGTCCTTCTACCAATTACTTTTCAAGCACAGTGATATATCTAAATTAACAGTCCGCACATACTTTGTCAAAAAGAAAAGGGAGGGACGTTTCCTACGAAGACTGTGGTCTCTCTGTCCTTCTAATATGGTTAAGATTATTTTTAATGAACCCTTCCCCCTGCCAAATAGCACTAATCTCCTCCTACACAAATATTTTTGGCTGGAATACATCAGTTTTACAGCTGAGAAGTCTTCAAACAAAGAGCCAGTTGAGCCACTCTTTTACTATTTGAAGATGTCACACGTTTGCAGGATAACAGAACTGAGAGGGATGGTTAAGTGCTTCAAAACCCGATATAACCTTGATGAACTAACTTCCAGTTTTACAGACTGAAAGGAAGAAGGACCATGAGCAGGGAATAAGCTACTGTAGCAACTGTTTTAATATAATGTGCAAAGAAAAATCCGTTAAACATCTTTAATGTTTTCTAATGTTTAGGAAGAGAATAACCCATTTGACATGAACATGTCTGATTAATTTTAGAACAAGACAGTTACGGTTTCCACATTGCAGAATAAAAACACAGCTTTCCAAATGATTAATTTATGACATTGTCGGGTAAAAAAAAAATGACTTGATAAGTGGTCAGATGACTGATAGTGGGGATCGCGTAACATTTGGCTGCCATCTGGCTGCCTCTTCACAACAAAGCGAGTTTTAGATGACGAGAAGTGGTTTTCATTAATAAAAAAGGCATTTAAGGTTATGGAATTTTTTTGAGCTCCAGACTGGTGACCTTGGTCAAACAATGACAGGATGGAACTGACAACTTTAGCTATTTTGCAGACTGTGTAATCAACTAAGGAAGCATACAAGAACCTAAGAAAGACTGTGAATGAGAGGAGGCTATTCAGTCAGACTCTCTTTTGGTAACTAGTAACTAATTTGAGGGTACCTTCTGGATATTTATTTTCTAGAGAATCAGCTTCAGATACTGGCTATGGAGCGTGTTCTGGTATCACCATCATTTTTGTAAAGTGCTTCCTATTCTCATGAATGTGTTTTGGTGGAAGAATTGAATACTAGCTAATTTAGTGTAGGCACGCTTTCACATTGAATTTGTGAGTTTTGTTCATGTGAGGAGAACAAAATCTCAAAAAGAACGGTGAGAGATAAATGCCAACTAAACTCCCATTATTCACAAAGTAGCCTCTTAAGCACACATCTTCCTTCCACTTGAGACCGCTCACATATTCTAAAGTACATCCCAAAAATGTCAAAAGCTACCAACTGGTTGGGTACCACAAACACGCTCTTACACAAGGTAGCCACTGGTTCACCTCCAGTGGATGCCGAACCCAAGACTTGTGAAAACAGACATGCTAGTCAAACCCAGCACTCAGTTATTCCGTTTAGTGTCTTCCTCAAGAATGGGATCCTGTTTCACTAATGCTGTTTGAGCATCAGATGCCATTTGAAAGCCGGGCTCTGACTGAGGGGATTGCTGGTTCCGTTGACGTAATTTGGACAACTTCCCACAAATTTCCGACCCACCGCCTGCTCTGCCCAATGTTGTATCCGGAGCCAGATTCCTCTCCGCTGTGTTCCAGTAGCTTTAATCACAGATCACTGTCTCTGCTGAGTCTGATGCTCTAGCTTGCCTAATTGCTACATGTTCTGGCACATTATGATGACTGAATCAATAACAGACTCAGCCTTCCCGGAAAAGCACTTTTAAATGGACAAGATCTATTTTATTTTACATATCTAGACATTGTGGGGAGCTCAGTAGAAGAGTATCACTTACAGACTTTGTTTATTTGAAGGTAATCAGGGATTTGTGTATTGTTTAAACACACAAGGAATGCTTTTCAACAGTCAGGAAATAAAACATTCTGACAGTCAGATTAGAGCATCACGACTTATACTAAAAATATGTCATTGACAATTTCCTTTTGGATACTTGAAAGTTTAAATGCGACCTTAGATTAAATGAATTCTCAATGCACTCGGTGGTGGGTATTAGCAACAGAGGACTGCGTTTCTACTTGTTTTTGGCAAGCGAATCTATCCTGTTGCGGAAAACAAGGGTGTTGTCTCAATTACATCAAATTAATGTGCGTAAATAATGAATGAGTAGCTCGTGAGCAAACCTTGTAGTCATTCTTAAGATATTTTGAATTTCTTGATTTTTTCATCTACAGAGTATGCAGAAATCCCTCAGCTCTGTAGTACAGCTACAGAATTAGTATGTTTCTTCTATGTTTTAATGTGGAATTCCTGTCTACTGTTTGTTTTGGCAGCATTATCAACCTCAAAAACTTAAAATGATTCTTTAAAAAATAGGAGTTTGGTGTCTGTGTACAAAAGGGCAGGAGGACCTCAAAAATGATTGTCTGGGCTGCATCTATAAAAGGGCAGAAAACCCTATTGAGCAGGCCAATTGAAGAGAGACATCAATTTAAGTGACCTCTGTTCTCAATGTACTTTACTTTACTGTATGTCAATTTGGCTTATATAAAGTGATGACTGAGAGATAATGTTTTTCCTGTTTCATATGAAATGTGAATATGAAAACAGTGATATACTGTTGGAATGAAAAAAAATAGCACGCTGATCGATATTCTTGTATCTCACACAGACTTTGCAATGTACAGTACATTCAAAATACCCTGATAAAAATTCAGGATTGTTCCTTCAGCTAAATTTTAATGACAAAATAAAAAAGTCATCTATATCGTTTTTTACATTGCAGTATCAGTAAAGTTTGCATTATGCATGTCTGTAAGAGAAAAATGTAAAGTCCTCCCATATTAACCAGCTGTAATAGGAGAAAAGAAAGCTTAAAACTCACATTCCTTGTTCTGACCTCTACTCCTAGACACAAAATATTTCATATTTGTAGCCCTACTCAAAGCAGAGAGCAGCACAATAACTGGATGTGATACAACCATGGTTTCTTCAAGAACCATGTCAAATCTTAGTTAAATATCCCTGCCAGAGGCAAAAGTTAGCAAGTGTGTCTGTCAGAACTCAATTCTAGCTCATAGTTGATTGCAAAGTAGGTTTATTAATTGCACTTCCTTTGTTTTTAAAACATGGTAGTAGTGATTACTGTGCATATGGAACCTCTTATTTATATCACAAAATTGACCAACCTGGACAGAGAGGCCTTTATATTCATACACTAAGAAGTAGTAAAAAGGAATCATTTGAAATCCATAGTTTTAGATAAAAAATTGCCCTGAATGGGATGTCTGGAGCAAGACCATATCTTTTTTCAGTTTTCATCACTTGGTGGGCATTTTAAGACAAATGGGAAGCTCATACTGTACTTCTTGTCATGAAGACTTTGAAAGCTCCATGTTATGACTTTTAATTAGCCACCGTATGTCTAAAAATGCAGTTTCTGTTCTTAGTTGTGATGGGCATTTTCCATATGCCATTCAGCAAAAATGTGTTTGTACTGATAGCAGAAGGTGTGTGGAAAATCTTTTCATGACACACATTTCTTTCTCTTTGGAAACAAAAACATGCTTTAAAAGTAATTTGAGCAGTAGCTTCAACAATTACATTTAAGTGCTCCCTTAACTTTCACTTTTTACATTCAAGACTGTCCTGCCCATCAGAAAGGTGTAACTAATGCTTTGCAGTTTATTGCGATTCGGAGATACCATTCAGAGGAGTCGGGCTTGTCTCTGCCTGTTGAATACCTCACTGTCGCAGCTGTGCAGAGCCAAGACATCAGGGTCTTGTTAAATACATCCACCCAGCCTCCTCCTGACACCCTATAGCCCACACTGCCACAGCTGACTCACTCTGCAAACAAAGAGGCTGTTTCACCTTTTTTTCCAGAGAAACATCACTATGCACATACACTCACACAATAGCTTTCACACAGGCGTTGAAAAGCTGCAAATCTGCAAAGTGTACCGAAGCAAGACTGTGAAAAATGGGCGCTATGTTTGGACAAGTTGTCAGGTTAAGAAGCTTTTTGATTTCCCAGGGATAAACATTAAAAAGGTGTCATTACTAATGATCAATTAATCTTTATTCCTTTAACTCATATGACCCATCCTAGACAGGCTCTAAAACCTAACTCTGGCCTGAAAAGGATACTAAAGGAACAGTGTCAATGAACATTACGGCAACTGGGTTTGCACATACTAAAGCAAACTCACCACAAGTGAAAAGGTAATGAGAGTTGGTAAGGAGTACAACACCACACTACTGTATGTCCAAAAATACAGGATGGGCTAAATTACATGTACCGATTTGAAACACCTCTTATACTAACATACACAGATTTCCAGATCCTTATAGCTTTAAATACTGGGGGATAGCAACAGAACAGTATATTACATTTTAACTCCGTATACTATACAGTATGTGTTAACTCCACATATGTTATATATTGCTGGAATTTAAGATAGCATATTAATAATGACGTTGTGTAAACTCCATCATCTCAAACAAACAAAGCAAACGACAAAAATGTCCCAGCAAAGGAAAGAAGGAAATCATTAAAATTACAGATGTAATTGACATGATGTCGATGTCTAATGTCTATCAGATGAATTGCTGACGAAAATGTAATCTCAGTTGTTGCAGCACTGAGGTTGTTCTTAAGTGGTTGTTGTTTATGTGAATGATAAGCTTGTTCTAAATTAGTCTAATTATTGCATGCACAATACAATTAATTAAGATGGAATTAATAATATCATATTGAGTTAAATGGTACATTATGACTCATATTTCATTAGATTACGTACATGCTGTGTATTCTCAAAAGTTTCTGAAATTTTTTAAAACAATCATGCACAGTACTTTGCACAATGTCATGGTTATCATGCCTTTAATTGATGTTTCCTAGTGCAATTAACATGCTCTCCAAAAATATTATCACATGTATGTTTTCTCTTCTTTTTTGGCCTTGTCTTGTTTCTCTAATAGGTCATTGAAGAAATCACTTTAATGTTTTTAAAGAGGATGGACCCAATCCCGATGAAACAAAGCCCCATTCAGACCTTTGAGGACTTGAAAATCATTTGGCACTCAGTGGCAAATCTGACAGGTATTGCTTAGCTAATTCTTCTCAGGCTGTGGCAGCAGACATGCTTCAGCTTGTGGTGTTTGATGACAGAGTTCCAAAGAGCACATTAACAGTTACAGCTTTGGAAAGCTTCACGAATTGCTTTTGAGCTAATTTTCTGGGGAGAGTCACAATGTAACCTGTTATTAATTTGAACTTCAACTGATGAAAATTGAAATGAACCACACATTTCCTGTGGTGGATTTTCCACCAGTTCACATGAGTAAATCCCAAGGTGAGAATGCAATGAACAGTACTTTTCCCAACTGTCAAGGTACTGTACTAGTTGTTTCTAAAACCTCTTTTTACTCTGTCTCCCTGAAACACTTTTTCCAACACTTTCCATTTGTTGTTGCTGGTATTATTTTCTCTAGCATTGGAACACATGCAAAAAAGAGAAAAAAATGTATAGAAACTTACTATACTTGATATATAAACTTCATTGCACTACTTTTGTAAAATATCTGATATGTCAGACAGCTCTTTCACCACAAAGGCATAGATCCTCTGTGATCCTCTCTCTTGGCAACTAGCTCCTTCCAATTACTGTATATCTATCCTTATGGGATTACACAAAAAGACCAAAGTGCTTTGCAAGATCCACTCACCCCGATATTATTGTTGACTACTCAGAAATATCAACGTCTTTACAAAAATGAAATCTCATACCTATTTCCAACATTTCATCCTAGATTGTTTGTGTCTGTGGTAAGTGCAAATAAGCAATTAGCAAATGATTAACTGCATACAGTACAGTACCTGTATATAAAGATTTAAATTTCCAGACTATGTTTTGTATACTGTGGACAGTGGGTGTTTTCTGTTTTCTATTTTATTTAATAGATGTGATTGAAATTATTTCCTAATACACATCTAATGATGCTACTGTATTATACTCTGTATCCACAAAGGTAGTAAATAATATATGAGTTATACCCATCAAATGGCCTTTTACATCTGATACACCATCTGCTGTTTCAGTGCAGTGTTTAATTACAAATGCACAAAGACATTGCAAATGGTCAGTAAAAGGTAGCCTTTCCTGTTACAGTAGCCATCACCACAAAACAGGCTGAAAGGGCTTCTGTTGCTCAGTCTCAAGTTTAAAAACTTACTCTCTTTCTTATAGGTAACTCTACAGCCTTACAATGTTACTATTTTTTACTTATGTGAAAATTATGTTAAGACAATCGTGCTCATTTCTGAGTATTCATGCATAAGTGTAAAAATAGCTTGCACATTAATAAATTGTATATTAGCTGATAATTAAATGACTTGAAATGAATTAAAAATGTATTTCTGTTGCATTTTGCCATTAACTAATTCAATAATATGGAGGTTTCTCTGTAGATGTCTACTCCTAAGTTGGTTTACATACTCTCAAGTCCCGTGGCTCTGACTTTCAAAGCTTGATGAATTACTTTGAGGACCTCTTCCTGAGTGGAGCTCTGGAAATAATTAAGTAAATCATAACAGCTTGTGTTTATTGCCTTAACTTTAACGTGCCTTTGCTGAGATGTGATTTAAAGATTAAGGTTGAATGCATAACTTTGCAAAAGTCACTGTGATACATGCATTTTGCAAGCAGTCACACTTCCCACTCATAAACTAACCCATGCTTGACTTTGTAGAATTTTTAAAGCTGTTTACCAAACAACTACTACTTTGTTTAACATATTTCAACAAAAGATGTTCACTGTCACCAAATATAGTCTGAACTCTACCTAAACTACTTGACAAAACAAGTACATTTCAGTAGAGAAAAATATATTTTTTTTCCTTTGCACTTCTATTGCATTATTTTGATATGTAAACATTACTCTTTGACAAAAAAAAAGCTCTTAAAAATCCTTATGTTTTTAAACACCTTCCCTTGGGACTTAAAGTGTGTAGTCTTTCTTTGTCCCCCACGATTGAGAGCAATTGTTAGCTAACGCTGCTGGCAGCCCCTGCACCTTTTATTACCTGCACTCAGAGAAAACATTTGCACAAAGTCTACCCACCTACATGCTGAAGTCGTCTGCCATTGCTGTTTCAGCACACAAATGCTGGTTTTTCATTCAGACCTGGTCTCAGGTCTCAGGTCTCACATCTCGCAGCAGGACAGTTCACCTGGACTCCTGACTGAAAGCTGTGTGCAGTAGCAGGGTCCTCCAGCTCCTGTTATCTGCACACACCTCTATCTCTCTCCTTCTCAGTTTCTGTCTCCTGCTCCTCTCTCTCTGGTACATTCAATCCCTTTCTCCTGAGACACAGACACAGGGAAAGGGGGTGTGGAAGCTGCAGTACTTGGAACACAGAAGGCCCTTTGTTTTCCTTCATATGGTTTACTTCAAGCACACTGAAAGCATTATGCCGCTATATATTTTCATATTTAAAACCTATATGATTTGGAAATAAATAGGTTCCCTTTTCACAGTACCATCCATCTTCTTAACATACTCACTGTTGTATATTTATACAAAGAGTATAAGATAAATACATACAAAGGTACCCACATGCTAAGCCTGAAAAGGCTTTTACTGTTATCATCTACCATATGAGTGATGTACAGCAGACCACCAGGAGATAGAATTAATAAATAAGGTCTGAAAACTTTGGAGAAAAAAAATGTGTTTAGCTGGGAAAACTGGGAAGAATTTCCCTGCACTTCTATCCAGATTTACAGTGTAATACTCTATATAGCCAAGCTGTTGCTTCACATCCTAGATATGATGTGAACCCCAGTTCCCTTGACTCCAGCATAAACACATAACCTTTGCCTAAGCCAAAAGACCCAGCCCAGTCCAAAAAAGAAACAGCCAGCAACAATCATAACAATGGGACCAACCACATCAGAGGAGACGAGACTTACCTGTAGGTTCTGGGAGGCTTTGAAACTTGAGTCCATGAACTTCCCAGTTGGACTCAAGCTGGAGGTAAAAGGTAACTTCCCACATCTTGTTTTGTATTTGTAATCAGTATTGTCAGCGTGATTAGAATGTTTCCTCATTTCAGAAACCTGTACACCCTTAGGTGGTCTGAATAAACAAATTATTTGCAAATATTAAGAAAATATGTATACCATTTGGAGGAAATGCCAGTGCAATATTAAATAAATCGATAAAAGCCATACCTAACAATGCAGTGGTTTGGAAAAGGAACTACACTGCACATTATTTTTCCAAAGGTTTACTCATTCAGGAACCAAACGATACAGAATATGTATTATATTTTGTAATCAACTTGCCAGAATTTTGACATAAGAACTTCTTGATGGTTATTATGTGGAAAAAAAACAAATATTGGCATAAACTTTCAAAAGAGATGGTGTGCAGGTTGTTAGGATTTTCAGCTGTAGCTCTGTGGCATTGACCAATGAATAAACAGCAATACTGTAACAAACTATTGATTTGGAACTGCCTGCTTGAAAGTCCTTTTTGAAAAATTAGAATTAACAGCTGGTTCAAAAGATACATTCCAACGAAAGGCTTTGCTATTTTCACCATATTCAATAAACAGAATAGCTCGGTGAGTCTGCAATGGAAAGTATTGGGGAATTTGGCTGTTGCAAAGCACTGACCAGATGGTTTGAGTGCAACCTTTGGCTTTCTGATCTCTCCTCGTGTCAGTAGGTTGGTTTAGACACAACTGCATACGTTCCGTATCAGCAGAAGCAAAGGAATCACTGTTCGTGGCAACAGCAGTGGTGAGCAGTTCAAAGGTCTTTATGCCATCTTATCCTGCTGCTGTGACCAATCGGGGATTGTAAGAATTACTGGTCATGGCACACAATTTACGTCCTGTTCTCAGGTGCAAACCTGCAATGAAAGCCAAGTGTGTAACTGAAGATCTGGGAGCCTCTCTGAAGTCCACAGGGGACTCGTTCATAAAAAGTGGCCTTTGACAAAAAACTAATGATTGCCTGATTTCCCGTGTCCAACAAGGTCCAACAATAGTAAACTCCACTGGGTAATTTTCTTAAGGATTGTGGACACTTTGACCCCAGCTTGGTCATGGATTTTTAAACAAGCTATGCCTTCTTAGGTTTATTACGTTTTGTTTCCACACTATAACAAGCTTAGTTTTTGATGATCAGAGTCTCATTGATCTCTAGGATTTGTTCCTCATGTGATACAAAATTCTGTATTTGCTGAGGTTATCTGCCTCTGACCACTTTTATAGACTACATAATATTATTTGACAAGATAACTTATCTGGTTTATTTGCTTCACAAAGACTAAAAAAAGGTGGTCCTAAGACTTTACTGCTGAATTGGTGATTCTTTAATCATTTGAGGTTTTCTGTAAATTGCAAAATAAACTAGAACTAATCGATCATGTTATCCAAAGGCCATTATGTGTTTATCTGTACAGTGAATATATTGTGCTCACTAGAACAAAACTTTATATACCATTCTTAATATTGTAGAGCTATAAGCATTTAATTACAATAATGCAAACATTTCAATGTCTTTCCCCTTAAAAACAGGCGTCTCCTTCTCTTGCTCATAACCAGACTTAGCTGTTTGGGTTATTGCAAACTGGTGCTGCTTCCACTGATAGTAATCAGCTCTTAATTCCAGCTATCGTGACTCTCCGAAGGAGAACCGTGTGTGGGAGAGAGAACTAGAGGAAATGTCAGCAGACATTCCATCAAAACTGGGCTTTTGTTCTTGGAGTTTGATGGCATTTTTATGGAGATCTGGATTGCATCTCCCATCTCACTGACTCAGCTTTACTCCAGACAAAGTAGCATCATGGTGCAGACGAGGTTATGATTATGAGCTCCACTTGATTTTTGCCACTTTTCATCTAGCCATGGGATGTTTTCTAGAGAAAGATGAAAGAGCTCATGGAAGCTGGCAGGGAAAGTTCACTTGATTAAATTCTTGTCTTTGCAGGTGCACTGGCTTTTGATGTACAGTGTGTTGCATCAAGAGCTTTAAACCTTATTGCAATAGAAAAAGAAGTGTTAAACCTATTGTCCTGGTTAAAGTCTACCCTCTACTTGCACAATTAAACCTCACTACAATTCCATCTTAATCAACTGATGAAGTAGCTTTTCCTGACCTACTGCAAGGTGGGGCTGCTGGTACGGTCTTGCATCACCCGGGTTTTTGTTTTATTGATGGAATAACTTGTTACCCTCCTACATGTAAAGTGGTTCATGATAAAAATATCTGTATAGTGTAAATGCGGAGATTTACAAGTGCAATAAAAAACAGGTTACATATGTGCATGCTTCATTAGCTTGTATTTCCAAAGGAGTCAGATGTTGGCACTGCAGTTAATAAAAAAGATATGCAGTGTGACTGCTCCAATAACAATAATCTAAAATGACAGGAAAAATACACTAGCTGTTCACTTTTGAACAATTTGTGATCTATGCAACATTAGTGACTTTTGCTTAGTTAGTTAAGGAGAAAAAGAAACAGGATTAATTCTACTTAAACACATTCAAATGAGTTGACATTTATTGTTGTCAGTAAATATGTCCCTGAATCTAATAATTAGGTGCTCTGATCCTATTGAACTCACAGGCACAGCTAATTGATTATGAAGTCTTTGAATTGCTATAGTGTGATCTTTCTGTCAATGTCTTATTTAACTTTTGGGTCGCCAAAGGAAATACTGTGGATACTATACATTTGTTGTTTCTTCATTAGTTATCAATTACTATGAATATACTGTAATTTACTCTATGAACACTTCATAGTTCAAGTTCAAGTTCATACAGTAAATTGTATTCTTATTTTAAGCGAGTGTCATTGGGCAGGAAAAACATCTTCAGAAAAATAAATGTATTTTCTATCAGTCCCTTCAACTGACTTGCTAAATGGTCATTTTGAGAACCTGTCCCATTTTACAAATGGATTTTATGAAGCGCAGAAAAGAAAAAAAAAGGGAATTAGGAAAGAAGCAAGCTGAAGGATTAAAAAGAACAGCCAAAGAAAAGCGAAATATGAAACTCCAAAAATGTTGGCCCTTGTTGTTAACAATTAAGATCCTTTTTTAAATATATATTGGAACAAAAATTGTTTTGAATTGAACACTGTGTATGCCTGGATGACTCTAGCACATAATAAATAATCGCATATCTAGCACGTTAGCTAACAAAAACACATGACCTAATTGTGCAATTGTACTTTAGCAATTCTCATTGTCTGCTTTTGAAATCTTGCTTGAAATTTTCACCCTCAATTGTTATATCAGACTGTAACATTTTCTGCAACCACTAGAGTGAATTAAAAATAGTCATCAGATTACACTATATTTTAGAGTCTCAAGTGAAGCAATGAAACAATTTCTAAATGTCTAATGTATATTATCAGTTGTAATAGGAAAACATTAACAGACCAGGGATAGCATAAAAGAAAAACAATATGGCAGATAAGCTAGACATATTTAAATAAACACACAGTGCACACAGACAGACAGTAGTCTGATACACTGATGCTGTTGTACTCTGTGGTTGAAGATAATTTATTTTGTCTACTAGCATGCTTACAGACCTTTCTGTCCTGCTAGGTCTGTTCACTAGGACACTGAAGACTCCAGGATCAGATCTGAGTTGTGTGTGATTTTCATTTGAGATTTTTTTTATTTGTCTTGCTTTAAGAATATAAGAAATTAAAAAAAAAAAACAGCCTCTCTCGGAAACCTTCTAACTACTGCATTCTGATGAAACTCTTGTTTGTGCCCCCTGGTCAATTGCTAGAAGTCAAGTTTTACCTGGAGCTCATCATTGTAGTACAGGAGAGGTGTTTAACATTGTAAATTGTGTTGAAGCCCGCACACAACTTGCCAGAAGTCCTGCCATCATCCAGTTTTTCTATAGTTAAATTAAATAATGGTTTAAACATCAGATTTGAAAACGTCAGAAAGAAGAATCTAGTCTATCTGGCCCTTTTGGTAGTAAATGGTTATCAGATCCCAGGATCTTATTCAGCTGTGTCTTTAAGATGCCAGGGTATTGTCTTCAACAAAATAGGGGCTAGCTTGTTCCACACTCCTCAGAACCCCTGTGGGTTTCATGGATTGTTTTAATCTGCATGAGTGTGTCAGCACTATGTGTCAGTCCAGGCTGTCTCATGCTGCAGTGTCAGTGTCTGCTTGTCCATGTTCTTGGTGATTTGTTACATCCCTTTTATTTAATTCTCAATGCTGTTCTGTTTATCATGGCATAACTCTATGTAACCGAGAAATAAAATGGTCAAGAGAAAAAGGTCAGGTGTA